GTGAACTTCTACTTCATTATATCCCCACCAAGGGTGGCTCTAAAGAACGCTGGTGAAGGGTAATCTCCCTGGTCCCTGTATCTGAAAACAGTGCACTTCACTGTTCACTTTATAAAGAAGGTGAAGCAGTCTGAGGTAAAATATATTTCCAGACTCTTGAGCTTGACTTTCTGGACCACAGTATCACTACCAACATCCACAATCACAGGAATTATAGCATAAATTAACAACATTATTTCAACTGTTGTTATTGTTATTCATTGCGTTGAGTTGATGCCAATGCATAGTAACTTTATGTGTGTAGAGTACAAGTGTATGCTCTATAAGGTTTTTAGAAAACAGATCACCAGGTCTGTCTTCCAAGGGCCTCTGGGTAGGATTGCACCACCATCATTTCAGCTAATATTAGAGAATTCAACCATTTGTACCACCCAAGAACTCATTTTATCTCAACTAAGGAACCTATTTACAGAGGGAAAAAATAGTGTAACAATACACACATGACCAGAGAACCTACAAATATTGCCATACCCCTCATCATCTAGCCTTATGAAATGGTGGAAGGGTCTGTTACTGGCTCAGTTAATGTGCCTGCTTGGGATAACACTGTGGGACTCAGGTGTAGACTGGGGTTCATCATGAACAAATTAATAGAGCGCCCCCAACAGCTATAAAACTTGGCTCCAGAAATCCACAGATGGGAGCAGGATTGACCCATATTACCATCACTTGAAGTGACCCTAGGATCCCAGGTGTTGTTGTAGGATAAGCACTGGATGGCTAAACACAAAGCCAGCAATTCAAACTCACCAGTCACTCTGTGGGCGAAAAGATTTACAGCCTCGGAGACCCTCTACAAGGTTACTATGAGTCAGGATCTACTCAACGACAGTGAGTTTGAGCTAACTGACATCAATGTAGAATTTGCATTTCTGGTCTCTCAAATTTAGACTTTTTTACTAGATCAGAATAACTGGTTCTCAGGGATGGGGCAGGTGATACTTTCATCATCATACACAATATGGATTTTCCTGAACTTAAAATTCTCACTAACACCTAGTTGCTTTGGGCTTCTTGTGGCAATGGACTAACTAGCAAAGAAAAGAGTTATATACTGGTGGGAGTAATCAACTGAGATCAGCAAAAGGACCTGAGATTGTTGCTACACAGTAACAGAAAGGAGGAACATATCTGGAATCCAGGACATTCGCTGAGGCTTGTCTTGGTGCTTCTATGTCCAGGAATAAGTGGAAGACATTTGCAGCAACCATGACACAACCAAATAAAGGAAAATAAGGGCTAAAGGGAAGCAATCTATATCAGCTGATGTGCTGATCAAGGGAGAGGAAAAGTTAAAATAGGAAGTGGAGCAGAGAGTTAAAATACATACACTCACACATATATATGGGTCACAGCATAGCAACAGAGACTGAAGCTAATTCCACTCTCGCTTGCATTAAATCCTTGCAGGGACTGTGGCTAGTCACCACTTTCAAATGGTCTCTGTAAAAGGATGGACTTAATGGTGTGTAAGAGCAACTCTGAATGGTGCAAGAAGTGGCCTGGAATGGAAGTGGCCTGAAATGGAAACCTTCTGTGCACTTCAAATTACTTGAGTTTCTTATTTCAACCACTGTTGCAGCAACCTGTTCTGAGTGGGGTTTGATGAATTCTGGGCAAGTGTGACATGACAGTGCCTCTCCTTTTCATTCCTGTCCCAGGATTTTACTGATGTGGGAACTAACATGATATTCACAGCTGTGCATCTTAGATGTATGGCATATCTGATGTCCAAGGGCATTAATCTTTGATAAATAAGTAATGAGACAATAGAAAATGCTTCCTTTATTTCCCCCTTGTTCAAATGCCCTCCTCCTTCCCTTCTTCTTTTTTTTAATCCAAAACCCAAATAACCTTATTTCTAGTCTCATTCCTTTTGAAAGAACCGAGGAAAGTCTAGGAAATGTGTGAAACATCAACAGTTACAATTCAGGGGTAAATAAAGGGTTGACAAAAGCTTAACTGCTCCTCCTGTGGGTCGGGCCTCATGATGGGGCTGTGAGAGGACAGCGCTTGTCCCTGCTCAGTCTCAGACCTTCCCTCATTCTTGCTTCTTGAGTTGACTTCCCCAAATAAATCACTGACACATTCCTGTTTTGACCTCTACTATTGAGGAACCCAAGTAGGGGAAAGAGAGAGTCCTATTTTTGTGTATATTAAATCTGAGATACTTATTAGACCAAAAACCAAACCCATTACAGTTCAGTCCATTCCAACGAATGACGAACCATATGTTACAAAGTAAAACTGTTCTATGAGGTTTTCTTGACTGTAATCTTTACAGAATCAAAGCACCAGGCCTTTCTTATGCAGTGCCTTCAGATTAGCAGCCAATCACAAGCCGCTTGTGCCACTCAGGTGCATACTAAACCTGACATACTTATTTCACATCCAAATGGAAAAGTCAGGGAGATAATTGTAGATACAAATCTAGACTTCAGGGAAGAAGTCCAAATTATATGCAGACATTTAGAATGCAATTAATGATCACTGATGGAGCAGTAGTTAAAAAGCTGGGAAACTACCAGAAGGTCAGCATCTCAATCCCACCAGCTGCTCTGTGTGAGAAAGATGAGGTTATCTGGTTCCATAAAGATTGGAAACCCTATGGAGCAGTTTCCAGATCCTCTGGAAACAGGATCACTATGAGTCGGAATCAACTCGGTGACAATATGTGTGACTTGATTTGTTTTTGTGTGGAATATGTTTTATTTCTCCACTTTGAGGAGGTTGTAGCCAAACAGGTAAATAATAGATAACAAACCAAAGTAGCATATTCAATTGCCACATAAAGAGCATCCACACAAGACCTGGGGACTCTTGGGCCCAGAGTCAGTGACATAGCCACAGAGGACTAGAATGGAGAGTGAAGCATCCAGCTGATAAGAAGATAGGGCATATGCATAAGAACACCCACACTTGCAGATAATACCCACTT